ATTTAGCTGGGTGTTTTCTTTTATCGCTGTGCTTTCCTATTGACAGAGTTAATATTAGAAATAGTGCCAATTTAACTCCTAAACATTTATGACATGCCCTTGAAACAATATTCAAATATCGGCAACCGGAGGCCCATTGGCACAGTTGTTATTGCATCAAACCTACAGTTTCAAATATTTGCAGGCCCTTGGTAACCTACAGTAAATTATCTGTCCATTGTTATTGGTAACATTAAAGTCATCCATGATCCACCCGTGTTGCGATAACCTACATTTTTCACTTTCACGAGGTATTTCGAACTGCGGCTCAGGAATCATCAACACCAGTCTTTAGCAAATGAAATTGGAGAGTGACTTTGTGATGATCGGGACTTTGGCATAGTCACTGTGGCTAACTGGCTGGCTGGATTTGAAGTCATTCCATGTTTCAGTCTTTGTACTGGTTATATTGACAGAAGAATTAAGCAATTGTTGAAGCTGTGTCCGGTGTGGTCTATGTTTGTTTTTTGCGGATTTCGTTTCGGGACCTGTGGGTTGCCATATGGCATTGATGGCTGCAGGGCCTGATCGACGGAATGATAGATCGAAATTGCGGTGGGGCCCCGTTTACCGCGGACGTTTTGGTTGGTCTGAAAGTCAATGCGGATGGCGGTTGATGGGCTGTTTGAATTTGCCAAGGGACGTGTTGGAGTTGCATAATGAAGATTCTTTCGCCAGTCGGGCTCAGGATTTTGCAGCTCACGCTTCTGGAAACGGTCGCATGGTGGCGTTTGTTGTTTGCAGGTTGGACTAGCCATGCTCAGAGTCCCTGACCACAGAATCATGACAATGCATTGTATATCTGTTTGATGTATTGTCGCTAACAAAAGAATCTTAATTGCATTTCCTCACTGCCAAAATCATACCGCATCAGGTAATGTGTTTGACAAGTAATTAACAAAGACATACATCGAGCATGCGAGAGATAGCAGTATCCCTGTAAGCATAAACTTCGCATGCCATGCTCCTTCCCATAATCAGTAAGTAAGCCTTCAGGAGTAATCAGGTCAGCTCTCAAAGGAAATAATAGGGAATGGATTGAAAAATGCGTCGTCGAGGTCGGAAGCCGCGGACGCAGTATCAATAATTACGTTTAAAGAAAGAAGAAGTTTCTTTTCACTAAACGCTTGTCTTGGCGGGATGTCGAGGAAGAAGCCGAGGTCCATGTAAATGAGGTTCAACTGTATTGCAAAGCGCTGCCTTCAAAAGTCAAGTACACAAATTCAGTATCGTGTGTGTATCCACCATTAGCGTTGATGCAGGCTTAACAACAACTTGATGCATAGGCGACGTACTAAAATGATTAGCCGAAAGCTATGGGAGCGTTGTTCTATGTCTGAACCAGCTTGTCCCAATTCATGCCCAGCTAGTCAATGGCTGATTTTAGGCTTGACATGAAATGTAAAACTCCATTTCATCCAAAATTCTTTCGATAGGGGTCAGATAAAGGAAAACAATAGCTAGCCAGGGAGAACTAGAAATCTTCTGCTGTCTCAGGAAATCTGTCACAGCATGAGGCGAAATAATGGACAGGCATGATCTTGCTGAATTGTATGTCGATCATGAGATGTGAGTGCCTTCCCATACCACAATGCTTCAGCCACAAAACTGTCAATGTTAGACCTAAAGCATGTGTCCAATTACCGTTCCGCCGCCCGTCTATATACACTTGCCCCTGCCATCCTGAGGCTGTCAGATGTTATCTCGACTCCACCAATGGAAACATCCAATATTATCTCCTATACCAGAGATGCTATCTACACTAGCCAAGAAATTACCTGTCAGATTCACGTTAGAGCACAAGTAGTCTAATTACTGAGGCTGTTAGGGAGCTGGATATTCCCTAAGTCAGTTCTGCTTCAGTCCTGGAAACTGATTGAATGTAAGCCAGGAATGGTCGAGCAATCAGACTGGCAGTCTGGAATTGATTCCTTAGATGGGGTCAACCCGAGCTGTGGATTTGTCTTGCTGTGTGAGATGTCGCGAAGTGGATATCGGTCTGAAGGCAAAATCTCTTATATTGATTTCCTGATTTTGAAAATGTCGCTATCGGGGTTAGATTGTGTTTGGATTGACCAGCAAAGATCGGCGCTTTATGTTGGAGCCATTCCGGTCTCCCATTTGATTTTTCTGTAGGCCGTTGGCGGGCATATCCACGAACGTTTTGTTTGACATGTATTGACCACGGCGTTCCAGGGGCCGGATATTGATCGGCTCATCTTCATTGGAACATTATCGGTTGTGTGTAGTGGACCGGTCAAAAGGCATTGCAAAAGTTGAGTGGAGTTCGTTGCCCACAAAGTGCATGTGCCACGCGCGGTATGTGGCGTCAGGTTTCGTACTTAGTACTTGGCAACGCGTGTTTGTTGGTGTTGGGTTATATTGTCCCCGGCGTATGATCTTGGGGGATATCGAATCGATCATTATTCATTTTGTTTCAGACGGAACTTAAGGAGCGTTTGGTGTTTTTCGGCCCGGGATTTGGGGAAGTCAGCAAACAGGGTGGGACGCAAGGTTGGGCTTTTTGCTGTTGCAGATTTTTGTCGTTTTCTTGGTTTCCATCATGTTGTCTTCCCACAGGAGTTACTCATCTGTATCTTCCTCACGTAACCTCTCTGTTCTAATCTGACCCTTTCATGATGTGGCGTTCAAGACTTCGTGATTGGAGGCAATCAGATTTGGTTAATGCAATCAGCGGCGTTGTTCAAAAAGTGATCATTAAGCAAGGCCACGGTAATTTCCATTATGCTTGAGAAACCAAAGCCTCTTCCCCTCGCTTGCGATGATGTAGCGATTTCTTCTAGACAGAACACTCAGTCATGTTATGGCCCGGATCAGTGAAGCGTCTCCATACACGCCCTAAGTTGACGACAGACAAACTACAGCATTAAGCGTCTTTGTGTGTAACATCAACACAGAGTCCCCGGCGATGGGGATCATTTAGCGTAGCTTACATTTGCTTGTATTGAATCAAAGTTGAATCTAAAGTCGATGTAATACGTGTTCTGATTGGATAGAAAGAAGGGAGATAATTAGGTGTTGGAATGCTTTTGCAGCTAAGGGATTTTGGATTTTGGGGATATGGCTATATTAGAACAGAAGATACTGACAAAGTAACCTCTGTGGGAAGAGAATGGGTTTCCATAGAAATATTTTTGGACTTAGTCTCAAAAGGGAGGGTGGAGCTTTCATATCCGGAGCACAGCTTCGAAAACTATTCAATATTTTTTCAACAAAACTTGCTAGATATTTTAAACAGAGCCTAAAAGAGGTGCCTTTTTGCTATTTACAGATTTGGGGCATTTTATTTTTCTTGGTTTCCATATATTTCCGTGGAAATGTTTTGAACTTCTTCTGCACTCAAAAGGGAGGGTGGGCTTGGTTTCTGGAGCAAAGAGCCGAGAAAATATTCAAAGATCTTTCTACAAGAATTTGGCAGATATATCAAAACTGATCTTGAAGTGGTGCCTTTACTTTATTTGCAGATTTTGTTACATTTATATTTTCACTTGATTTCCATGGAAACAAATTTAGACATACTAGACTTTAAAGTATGAAATCATATGATTGGATTTCTTTCAAAATTTTATGGGGGCGAGGGATATGTCATCTTCTAATAACTCTTGCCAATTTTTTCAAATAACTTTTATTTTATGCAGTTATATGTCATGCACAGTTACTTTCGTTAATATGTAACGAAAAATAAAGTCGCAGTCTGGATCAAGAAAACTTATTAATCATGCCTAAATGGGGCGGATGTGCAACTTCTCTCATATGGGTCACTCGGCCACATGAGATCAAGAGCCATTGCATCATACTTTGTTTCATAGGCGGTGTCGTTTAACTGGTCATGTCCGGCTTGTCGAAGGTATCATCAAACGGTGGCCATTACCACATTTTCTGCGACAGATGTGACCCTAGACTTTGCAAAAGGATTGCGTGGGTTAGGGTCTATGGTTGCCCAGTCTGTATCCTCACTGACTAGCCCTTCCTCGGGAAAAAGGGATTAAAATTGACCTTCATGATTGAGAGGAACGTGCTTTAGCTTGAAGGCTTAACATGTTTGTCTTGTCGAGAGAGTCATGCCAAGAAAGGAAAGAAAACGGTCATCATCACTGAGGGGCAGTCTACATTGGTTTGGACCTAAGATTGATTTTTGTGATCGCCAAAAGCCTTGTGTGCTGCCCATTGTTGGTCTACCGTACTCAAATGATTGGTTGTGAGTAAATATGATAGGGGTGTATCCCAATCGATGGCATGGAGTGGATTGAGATACAGATCCAGAGTAGCGTCGTCAGAACATCATCAGTATGAATTTAACCAGGGTACTTCTATGGGCCCGTCCTATGTGGGACCTATAGACCAATATTAAGAATGTTAGAGGATGTATTTGTTAAGAATTTTTAAAAGTATTATCAACCCAACAATAATAATTCTTGCAATGCCATAAGACTTAAGACTCTCCTTCCCACGAATCTGAAAGTGCTTTACATAAAAGCGTTACCCAAAAGGAAAATGATACTGTACCTGTGCTATCAGGGGAGACAACTCCTTTGGATAGTACTTAGGAAAATTACACTAGGAAGAAGAGCGACATAACTAAATGTATTTTATGTATTTTGTATTCAATTATTCAGTTATCATGTGGATCAGAGGAAGCAAGTTCAAGGTGAGGCTAAATCAGAAGGTGGTAGAGGGATGTATTCTAAAATTATTATCATTTGATGTATGTATGTTTGGGATAATGATATTTTGTTTTGAGATATAACTATATTTCTTTTATTATCCCAGCCACTTGCTTTATATTTGGATTGATATGCATATAATGAGGTATGGTTTATAATAACTTGAAAAGTTTTCCTTTTGAGTTTTATAACCATGGTTTTCTGTATTCTAGATGGGTTTGTGTTTTAATCCATTCCCTGTTGACATTCAATTTGCTTTCCTTTGTTTTTGCACTGGTCTCATTGTGACGGTATGCAGTGCTCTTATTCCTGATGAGTTGAGTTAGATAACTGAAAGTGGATAAGGATTTTAGTACCTTCAAGCTGCCACCACTAAGAAAAAAGTTGATGAAATACATTATATCGATTCTGGATGATTTATGACTCATGTCATGGTGGCTATGCATGTCTCATGAGAGTGAGTGAAAACCTTTCCGACACTGGGCTTTGGTGCCCCTGCAGATAGCTAGTAGCAAAGGTATGGCCATGGACAACAAACAACAACAAACAACATAGTGAGAATATCTAACATCTCAGGGGAAAAAGGCCAATATTACGTTATTTCGTTATATGCTTAAAGGGTCACATGCAACCAAAATCAAACATAATTACAACACAGGTTATCACTCATTCATGACATATAATATACATTGCTGGTTATGAAAAACATATAAACAAAATTATAAGCGTACAATCCCAAATCAAAGTGCAATATTTTGTACTTGGGTTTACTTCCCAAGAAGCACGAAGCAGGCGGGGATACCAAACCCAGTCAGGCGGGTGGGTGTGCACTCAAGTGTAACGGCTGGCTCAGTTGCAGATGCATCCTCACAGCTCATTGTGTTATTGTATATAGAGATGTTGGGTTTTGTAAATACATGCTCATTTTTTGTGTATAACATTTTGCAATCAACAGACATCATAACATAGTCATGTGTAAAGGTATCCGCACCTGCCTGTCTGTGTAATTACATAATGTGACAGAGACGAACTCGGGCCATAAATCAATGCGTTTTGTTTATGGTGTATAGCCTGATAGGTGTTAAGTTCAAATTACATGTGGTCAGTGATCGAAGTTGTGTATTAAATATTGTCATTAGCAGACAGGCAGGCAGACACATAGGTGTCAATAAAACAGACATTGAGTTTTGACTGTGACAGCGACATATCTATATCACAGTTAGAAATTCTGTCAGCGCTAAATAATGACATTGCTTTTAAGTGTCGAACTGAGAAAGTGACTCGGTAAGAAGAGCGTGTGGTGAAATAGACAAATGAAATTATATAAACAGTTAAATTGGGTGATCTACTGTCATAACATATACAAAGCTGGCGCCTGTGAAATATCAACAAAACAGTAGAAAAATAAGCTCCACACCAAAGCCTTCACCTGAGTATTCACCCGGACAACCCGCTTCAAGCTGCGAACCTATTTCACTGCGCATAATGCTATGAGCGCAGCCAGCTGTTGAAACCACTTAAATTCCCCGAAGCTTGGGGAAAATTGATTAGTCGTTTGAACTCTGATTTGCGCTAGCGGGTTTTCATCGCTTTATTTTCAACTTTATAAGTTGAATTTGCATTTTGATGATTTGTTTTGGTAAGTCCATACTGCTGAAGGTATCAGAATCTGCTGAGAAGTTGTGTTTTCGTTGCATGTGACCTTTAAACAAATATGTAAGCTGTTAAGATAAAGCTGAAAGTTCCCAAACTTGAAGAACTGCTTTTACAAACAGTTTGCTAATGAAGATTATATCATTTCTCCAGGTGTGGGGGCTTTTTACACCTCTAGGAGGAATTGTTTTACACCAGCAATTCAGGCACTACATCATAGTTTGCATGAATTGTGTTGAAACATAGCTCAGAAATTTCCAGCAACTGCTCATTTTTCATGACTTTCACTATGTGTTTTAAAGGATTTACATGCTTGTCAGAGAGGATTTTAGACATGGCCAATAAGAAGAACTAGATCTTGGTTTCTTCTATACATTTGGAAAAAGTTAACCATGCCTGGTAATTGAATTTTAGAAAGTTGCCTGTTTAGTATTTAATATCAGTGGTGTGCATGCATGCTACATCAAATAAGCTGCATGTCTTTCTGTATGATCATGTCATGACTACTAAGAAACACACAAAAGGACAGTTAATCCTTCATCATTTTAATAATGGATATGATGCAAAACACAAGTCATCTGATTTGGCTCAAAAAGATGATACCTGTTACAAGCGAATCAAGGACAAAATCCACCCGGACAAAATCCTCCCAAAATTACAACCTAGGACAAAATCCACCGGACAGAAATCCACCCGGACAAAATCCGGCCTAATAAATTCCACCCTAAGAAAAAAACTAATGACATGTTTAGTCACAGAAATGAATTTTATTCATATCAGTCATTCATAATCGATAACCAAAAAACAAAATACATATGTAAGCACATTTTGCATATATAAATATGACAACAGCATATATTTTCACACATTCAGACATATCTATGACTAAACATCTTGCCACATTTCAACCGCGTGAGCAACGGCTGGCCTTGGAGAAAGTCCTCAGTGTCTTTTCCTTCGCTGCGTGGGTCTTGCACAGACCTTCAAGGCGTTCTTGAGGCGTTTGGTGGTTGTTCTGGTTCTTTTCTTGGGGAAGAACCCGGTTTGGTGTCTCCGGGATGTACTGGCCTTCTGCTTCATCTCTGACCGCAACTTGAGGGGGCCCGGTGGCGCTGGGGTCTGGGGTGGCAGTGGTCGGTTGTCAGTACTTTATTCTTCACTTCCATGTCTGTGGTACGCTGAACCCTTGCAAGACAGCGGTTTCCGTTGGGAACACTCCCACCTAATTATTGACTTGCTCTCTTTCTTCTCAAACTCATTAAAAAGTATGTTCTATCAAAACATGAGTATAATGGGCTCCAATCAGGCTTTGCAAAAAACATCTTAATTCTTTAAAGGGATTGCGTAATGATCAAAGTGTGAGACTACTTAATGATACATGAAGAGGATTAAAGTAGTGATCAAATGTGACAAATGGAGAAACCTTTAATGTTTGAAACAACATCTAGGAACAACAGCCAATTAGGAAAGCGTAAATGCTATAAAAACAATGCTTGCAATGCTTGAGCAACACAACTTGATCAAAGATCAGGACACACTAAAACTTTTAACAATAGCCAATTTGAGAAAGGTGGATTTTGTCCATTTTTGTTAAGAAGAGGTGGATTTTTATCCGGTGGCTGGCAATTTTGGGGTGGATTTTGTCCGGTCACTGTTACAAGTATGGAGTCTGAGAGAGGATCAAAGGAACATGGAATGTATGTAATGAGATGAAAACAGAATTTATATCTATAATTTTGGAGCGTTCAATCAATATCTAGCCAGGGCTCCAAATAAGGGCTGTATCGGTATATGCGGGATATAAAATATGCATGATGCCGTAGGAAATAATTTAGAAAACATACCAGATAGGCATCACAGCAATGGTGTACGGACTTAGAATCATTTACAGATGTATTTATCTGAAAAGTATTGTTTTTATTGTTTATTGACCTGTTACACAAGAGTAGCAATGTTGTGGTGCATATATGAAATGAAACACAAGATTACTGGTTGTACTCCATTAAATTCCATTCAGTTCTCTAAATTCCAGTACTCCTGTGTTGAAAACATAAGGAGTATGTACTCTGATGTTGAAAAATTATCTGGACCCCTACTAGTGTACCCTCCACATGCTTGGATAACTATCTGTACCCTACATTGCATACCCGTATCAGTTGTCGTAACCATTACAGAGAGTCTGTCTACATCCTTGGTGAAAAGCTGCTTCAATCTCGTAGATTATGAACGGTTGGTACACAGCTTGTATCTGTCTCCCAATAAAGTCTTAAATGTGCCCCAGGAGTTCAGGTCTGGACTCATGGGAGGGCCACGTTAGAGTGAGCCCCTGCATCATTCTGAATGAAAACTGTCCCTGCATGAGAACTTTGTGGTCTAGCATTGTCATCCATAAACACAGGTCTTGTAGCGTGAAGATGATCATCAAAATGGGGGGGCAACAACTGGAACCAGCACATCCAGAGATATACTGATCATCCGTCACACATCCAAAACCATAATGGAACCTTCCCCAAAAGCAGTTGGTTGAATAGGGTTTTCCAGCAAATGCTGTATTTCACTGTCCCCAAACTCTCAAGCATCCATCCATCAGTTACATGAAGAAGGAATTGTCTTTCATCAGACACCAAGCTAAACATGCTTGTTGGTGATGATCTCTCAGAGAAGGATGTTTGATGACCCTTCTAGAGTTGTACACACTACCCTTAGGCGATTCAGGACCCATCAAAATGGTAACCAGTGATGCTTCAGGTCGGTGCTTGTGGCGAATGGTGGCTGTTGAGGTAGCCTCAATAGTGCCCTGTCTTCACGATCTGACGTCACTCTGGGTTGTCCAGATTGTGGGCGATCCTTCACCTCACACTCACCTCTTGATTCATTTCTGTGATTATTGCAATCTCAAAGTACCTGCCCTTGATTTCCATTTCCATTGCTCCTCAGTTTTAGCGGAACAATCGAAATGAAAGCTTCGAGTCCTCAGTGTTGTGTTTGGCAATATCCTAACAGGATGGCACTCTGTTCCATTGAAGATACAAGAGAAATTCAATATTAACTGACTAAAACATGAGTAATCCCTCTGAAATCTTTTTTGATTAGAAAGATGTCTTCATATCAAAAAACTTGCAGTGGCTTTGGTACCTGGGCAATACAAGTGATCTACCATTCCTTTTTCCCTACAATGACATTTGATTGGTCAGTGAAATCTTAATAAAGTCAATGTCAGATGATTTGAAATCAGCATCAGAACCATAGGTATGCATCCAGACGTTAGTGCAGGTTTAGGGAAATGGAAATGTGATGCCCAAGAGATATAGATGATACCACCAATGATGACAACTGAATTTCACCCCCAGGAACCCTGTACTGCAGCGTTCCAGTGATAGTGATTCTGTACAGTGCGTGCCAGTGATAGTGATCGCATTTTCGAATATTTTCGAATATTTGCGGCAAGTGTGTAAAAATTAGAGCTCTGAAGTAACATATGGGTGATACACAGTGATGGCTTTGGGCTGATGTCAAGCTTAATATTTGGTCCTGTCATGTTTGTCCTTACTTTAACACATTGCTGACGCATATGTTTGTAGTCATGTGGTTTATTGGTCTGGGTGGTGACAATAAAGTTTCATTTGATATATAAATACTGGGACCTATATTGACCAAATTATTA